ATTAAAATATAAAATAACTCAAAAAGTACTTGATAAAAAAATACTTTATTATAGTATTTTGGAAAGCTCTCGGGATAAGCTATAAGAATATGCAATAAAAAATAGGGGATTCCATTTAAGAAATTAAAGGTGTCCTTGACTTGACCTTAACGATGCCATCCAAGGTCAAACCAATGACACCATCTTATGTTCCCCTTAAAACCATACAATTTTTGTTCAAAACGTTTTTCTCTAAAATGCTTAGTTATTGAAAGAAAAGGGGTGTACGGGTGGTCTAGGACACCCTGTATAACCGACTGCACGTAACGAATCTACTTCGCTCGCAATCGATAAATGTAGTTAACTAGGCTTATGCAAAGATTAACATTTTTCTATATTTACATATATAAACTTCATAGAGACTGCAATTCAACTTAATCAACAGGTTCACCCTTTACCCTTATCTTTGCCGATAATTCCCCTCTGATATTTTACCGCGTCTCATAGACATCAAATGTCTAGAATGTATAATTCCCGGTTTCTTCATTAGAACCCATTAGGTGTAGTTAGCCCACGAACATACTCCGGTCGTGTCTCGCCGCCCACACGTAAGTACGAGAAAAAAATCGACCCAATTGCATTCAGATAATAACTAGTCGGAACAAGAGGGGAAAGGGGCAGGGAAAGATTGTGCTTACTCATCGGTGCAGTTGGCTGCCTCGCGCGGTTTGCATGTGTCGAGAAAGTGCGGCCGCGGCTCGCCGATTAGGACTTTCATGACCTCGCAGACGAGCGTGAGCGTAACAAGTCCTATGGAGTAATGACTGTACCAGGACCAGAGCTGCTTGTTCCTAGTCAACTCGACCTGGTTGCGATTTGGCGCGTTGCTCCTGTAACTGTCGGCGGGATGGCAGGCATATTCCGCGATCCACATCTGAAACCGATCATGTGTGGATACTGTTAAGTTATTCACAGGCGTTGTAATTTCTCCTTAAGCTTGCGTATGTGTCATATCTAAGATAATAAAAAAATTATACATAGATTGTCTTATATCGCGTTCAAAAGGGACGCAAAGAATTTGTCGGCGATTCACACGCACAATGTGGATTGCGATGAAAAGTGAAAGTTATATGTAATCTTGACGTAACGTTGAGAACCTAACATTGGCCACATTCAGCGGACTCAACAGTTAGATAGCAATTGAACGTGATTGTTTCTTACGTTTAGAACCAACAAATTAACGTCGAGCAAATTAACGTTGATAAGATGTTCAACTGTTGAGTCCGCTGAATGCGCTCATGGTTATGCGTAACAAACACTGACAAAAATCTCATTCTTTTTTTTTTATAAAAGTACTTTAAATATTCAAAATAAATTATGCAAGGTTTTATTACGATTCACAGATTAATTTTTCTGTAAATAATTAAAGTTTACTGCAGGCCTACGTTGTGCACGCGAGGAGGAGAACATACCACCTCTTCGCGCGGCTGCCTCTTCCCGTCTTTCCTCTCTCACGCGCGAGAACCCACGAGAATGACGGCCATGTGGAGAGGATAGATGGATCGAGGGGCCAGAGAGGAAAGACGGGAAGAGGCAGCCGCGCGAAGAGATGGCACGTTCTCTTCCTCGCGTGCTCTACGTAGACAGGCCTGGTTTACTGGAATTTTAGAGTTGTACATGTCTCTATGGCCTAGTTTACACCGATATACTTTAATACGTACTAAATACTATACCGACCAATCACAACCATTTTATTCTTTAGAGGAATGGCTATGACTGGCCAGTATAGTACTTAATACGTATTAAAGTATATCAGTGTAAACTAGGCCTTTGTTACCGAAATATTTGTATCTTTCTTTTCAAATTGCAAAGCACATTTATGTCAAAAATTTTCAACATTTTACCCTCCGATGGTATTATAATAATCGGAAATGACAGCAAATAACATACAAATTGCAAAATGTATAAAAATATGTTGTTATTTAACTATTTTATTTGCATATACATCATTCATTTTGATCCAAAAAGTATTAACATTAATATTTTCAATTCAATCACTCTCTTTTTACAAAGATTGTACGGCCAATATAACATTTAGGTTTTTCGTAATGCAATCATGTTGGATTACAATATTCATCGCAAGAAAAAAATTATGAATTTTTTTTTTTCGCATCAGACGTCGAAGGGAATTATTTTTACTTGCATACTGCCACATATTTTCGATAATGCAGATCACTAATAATATATACAAGAAATTTTTTTTTTATTGTTCTTTTCCTTACGCGTATCCACATGATTATATACTTCCACTGAAAATATTTTATGTCTTATAATGAAATGTTTCGGCGCAAAAATGAGATAGATTTGTATTTTGCGATGCTTATTTTAGATACAAGCTTTGTTATTCAAAATATTACGAATTATACTCTTGCCTGCGATTCTTGAATTGATTAAATCGATTTCAAAAAAAAAGAAAGGAAAATAAATTTAGATAAGTATTGTACACGCTGAATGATGTCTTAATAATTTATTCTTTACAGTTAACATAGATACAAAAAAGAGATTAGAGTGAATTGCTTATTCACGTTCGTTGTGCTCAATTTGTATTTTCAAGGTGATCTACATGACAATAGAAATGTAAAAATCATAAATTTAACCCTTGACTTGCACGAATTTACGTCATACGCGACCAAAAGTAAGGGAGGAAATAGAAACGAGAGCGCGGTACTTACGACTATTATGGGCAGGGTGACGCTGAAGATTATCAATAAACTCATGGAGATCGTGTCGCCCGTGAACCTGAACGAGATCTTTGGGTCATTGCAAAAGAAGCCGATTTGCTGATATGGTATCACGTTGAATTCCAAAATCCCCAGAAGTACAGTTACTGAAACGCAACGAGTCAGGATTAATTTTATACGTAAACCATATCGCAACGAATATATAAAATTCAACATGTGTATATATATATATATATATATATATATATATATATATATATATATATATATATATATATATATATATATATATATATATATATATATATATATATATATATATATATATATATATATATATATATATATATATATATATATATATATATATATATATATATATATATA